GTTGAAACCAACTAAGAAAATGAGTAGAGGAAGAATGGTTATAAGAAAAATAAGGAAGGAGTCAGCCTCACAAAGGAAATGGAAAGCTATTAAGCAAGATCCCTTGTACTTCACTGTACACACCTTTACATGCCTGCTTTATCGGTTGTTCCGGTCACAGATCAGCTCTCCTGTGACTCTTTCCTCATTGAAGAATATGGCGACCCGTAGTTCCCAAATTCTGCAATGGTATGTTGTTGTTGTTAAGTGACTTCCAGTCCGTTCGGACTCTAAGTGACCCAGTATAGGATTTCCGAGGAGTAGCTGGTGATTTTGAACCATCGACCTTGCAGTTCAATGACCTTGCGGTCCAGCGAGATATCCCACAGCACTACACCAGGACAAATCTAGATTCAGAATTAAAATTTTTGATGAACCAAGAATGATTCCCACTATGGCTAGAAGACACATAATGCCAATGTGGCTTTCAGTGGTCCAAAGAAACAGGGCTTATGACAGTATCTACCAGAATGATATACAGGGCAATCTCATTTGTTTAATTTTAGGAAAAAAAGTGCTTTCCTAGAAAAACAATAGAAAGATATAAGCCAAATTTTTATAAGTATTTATGGGTACAATTTAGCAACACCTTGTATTATCTTTTCTGCTTATATTTTCTATAATTTGCACTGAACAGTCTATTAATTTTATAAAGACAAAAGTTAGTTTAAAAAACTAATTCATCATGTCATTATAATATAATGTCAGGTGAGGAGGGCAGAAGGAAGGACAAAAGAAATCCATATTACTTATATTTTTTAACTCTATAAAACACATATGCAGAGATAAAGAAGAGAATAAAGTACAATAAAACATCAGCTTGATATTCCTAGGTGATAGAATTAAGGGTCATTTCTATCTCTTATTTGTCACTTACCTTATTTATCAGCTTGCTATGTATTCCAATTATTCTACAACATATATTACATACATAGTTAGAAACGATTTTTGTAAGATATATATGCCCTTCACAATGGACTCTGATTGTATAAGGTACTCAAATATTACAGGTCCCACTGTGATCACCCAGAGACAAAGTCATTTTTGGTGTCTATTTTCCAGCTCAAGTAAACCTGAAGTACAACTTCCCAACAGGTCCAACAATTCAGAATTACCTTGAGAATCACTGGCCCACAAAATACTCAAACAATTCTGGAGGGATTCTAGGAATACATTTAAGTGTAGTAGAATAAAATGTGAATGGATCCCTCAAATTCATTGGTTAAATGTAACCGATGATGATATTCAGAATAATCTTATATATGAAAAGTTACTAGGTAGAAGGATTAACTATTTTCTGTCCTTATTAAAGACAGAACAGGTTTTAGTAGCATGTGGGGTTTAGCAACACCATCAGCCATGCCAATCCAAGAAAGATATGTGCAGAAAAATAAATGAAAATTTGAATCAACATGAAATGTAATCTAACTACATGATTCAGGGCACTATTATTGCAGCTTCCAGGTTTCATGTTTACAAACATGAGTAATGCTAATGAAAATTCTATAGGTTAAAGGCTTTGTCTTACCCAAACCACAAAGTTAAATTATAAATATGAAGACCACAGTAAAGATGAGAAAGATTAGAGAAGAGATTTGTGGGGTTTTTTTTTTCTCTCTATTTTCCTAGAATCTTTACATTAGAAGTATTTATCTACCGAAGATAAATTCAAAAGTGTCTGGCATAGAAAATTTCTATAGATTTCTTGTTTACTCTCTATGTAATATGGACTAAAAATCTAAATGAAGGTTTGAAATTCAATACAAAAAGCCTGCTATTTTATCAAATGTACTCTAAAATTCTAGTGGTACTTCCTCACTTATCATAATAATTAACCACTGATATAAAACTAGTTTTTTAAAACAACTCTAATGTTTAAAACACATAGTTCTAGTCAAATTTATGTTAGGATGCTTAGAAATCTATCAAAGTAAGGTATATTTTATTTTTAACCATTCTAAATTATTTGTAAATTAACCACATTTATTTCACCTATAATGGGCTTACTCAGATGGAATCTACAAATTTCTCAAAACATTTTCTGCCAGGCAACAAAGGGAAGGAGATACAATGGAATGGTGTATGAGAGTCACAGGAATGCTGGCCCATATACAGCAGGAAAACAGTACCCAAAGTGTAACAAATTCTATATATAAACAGTCACGCTAAACACAGATTTTACTGACAAAGACTAAAAATCAGATGTTAAATGTCAATGTTTTCCAGAAAAAGATTGTCACAATGACTATATAAATGTATTAAACTACTGCAAATGATTTACAGAACCAGCAAATAAACCTAGCATAAATCTCCTCCAGAATGGAAACTATAAATTATCTCAATATGGATTACAGAATACGATATCCTCCTAATAATTTAGGTTTAAAAATCTAAACTCATTTTTCTTAGATAAGACCTAGAAAACCTAAAATGCCGCACATATTTTAACATGTATTTACCAAAATAAAATTCATTATGAACATTATTTTCTATTATATTTTTATATTCTCCTTAAATAACCAGGTGAAAAATCCAACAATACACAAACTTTGCCCACTACATAAAACGGCAGTAGGTGGTGAAGTAAGGAAACAGAACACAAGTTCAATAGGATCCATACGTTACTAGTACAGAGGCATTTTTCTAGCCCATAATCAAAACTCCAAGCATCCAGGGTTTCCATTTAAAATCTGACAATAACTTCTAGATAAGAAGTTGGTATATTTGATCTTGGGTGGGTGGGGGCCTCAGTGAAGCTCCTGTTCCGCTACCTCTGCAGGTCTAATGCAACAGAAAAACTGTCATTTTATGATGGTAAAGTACTCACAATGTTTTAACTATGTCTTTTACATTTATTTGTTTTAGCACATGGTAGAATTACACATGGATTAATTGTTAAAATCAAATGTGGAATTTCTACGTATTTCTGCATCTGGAATTAAAATTATACAAACAAACCCTCCAGTAAACAGTATTTTATTTTATGACACTCTGTGTTAATACAATAAATATACAAAACTTCCAAACCACTGAAAACATGCAACGTTAGAGGACCAGATGGCGGGTACTTATATAGAACCACAACATTCACCAGGATGGCAGCACAGCATTACTCATTGACAAAATATACAAACATCCCAGATATATAACCCAAGGCCCAAGTTACAAATCACTGAGCAATGGTTCTCCAGTGTTCAAACTTTACTTAAAATATAACTGCCAAGATTTAAAGTTGCAAACTGAAAAACAACATGAATGGCCACCATATGAAGACTATTTCCTGGCTGTGATATTGGGTGATGTCATATTAAATGTGAAACACTAACAAATGCCAAAAGGTGACTACTTGTTGACTACTGTTCAGAGAATGTTGTTGTTGCTGTTGTGGGCCGTCAAGTCAGTTCCAACTCATAGTGACCCTGTACATGGTTTCCAAGGAGCGCCTGGTGGGTTTGAATGGCTATGTGGTTAGCAGTCCTGTGCTTATCTTACAGAACTACACCAAGACTTCATTGTTCAAAGAACAGGGAATATAAAAACTTAAATCCCTTTTAGACCTGATCAAACTGTAAGCATTACCATCATTTTAATGTACAACTATGTTTTAAAAAAACAAACATAATTTTATCCCACAAACTTGTATTAAAATAACCCAAGTAACTGCATTTTAAAGCACTTATCTGCACAAAAGATACTGTGGATGTAACCATGCTTCCTTTGGGGATTTCTGCGAATAATAGAGAGAAAAAAATATTCCTATTCTCAAAGAAAATCATATATCTTAGCGTTTTCCGAAAGTCTCTCTTTTCTGTATCTTTTATTTATACTTTAAAGAAAGACAAAAACAGACAGGATATAAACTAACAGTGAGTATTGGTGCTCTTGTATTTTATAATGTTTGAAAGCACACTGATGAAGTAAACTCTCAATTCTAAGAATATATACTCTGGAAAACTTCAACTGAGTTGGTAGAGAATGTGGACAGATACTATCACTCATTAGAAATACAAGAGGCTCCAAAACAGGTCATGGGGAATAAGGGATTAAAAGATAATGGAATTTTTCTACAAACATTTTGAATCCCCTCATATTCAAGAAAACACCTTTAGATTCACATTCTGAGTTCTATTATATTCAGGAAAAAGACAGTAGTATCTTTCAAGTATATGATTTCAATAAAGCCCCAAATGAATCAAATGTAAACATCATCTGGATTGATCTGTTACCTCGTAACATGTAGAGTTTCTTTAGAAACAGTGAGAATTACCTGTCCTTGCCATCCCACCCCCAGCATGGAATTCATTCCAACTTTATTCAGGAAAGACAGAGAAAGGGATTTAAGTGTTTTGGCTGCTCTGCTGGTTTATGTTTCTGTTTTTAAAAGAATTTGCAGTATGAAATAATATAATCCAATAAACTATTCTTGTTTTGTGTTTTTTTAAAGACTATCCTTATTTTAAATCAAGTTGAATAAATAACTACCTTTCTGCGAATTTAAATTAGCTAAATATTTCCAGAACACAGCAGCATAACTTTACAAATAACTATGAGCCATTTGATCAACATTAAAAATGACTTAAGTTTAAACCCAAGTGGACTAGAAGAATGAACTTCTGTACTGCATAGAGACAATTTTAATATTATCTTCATAATTAATGCATTTAACTGTATTTGTATCTTCTTTCTGGATACAAGCAAAATGTCTTTTCTATTGTTGGAAACATTAAATGTTTTTAGTCTGTCTCAAATCCTGAAAGACATACTAGGAATTGAAGAAAATGTGAGATCTCTTTTTTCTAACGTCATCACAGATGAGAAACTAAAAAAAAAAAAAAAACTTTAAATACTGTATGCTTTTTTTTGACAAGGAGTTAGGTTAGACTTTAATACCTCTGTTAAAAATTACACCAAAAGGAGAGAGAGAGAGAAAAAAAAAAAAAGGAAAAAAAAACTAAAACAAAAACACAGAGCTGCCAAACACAATCTCAGTTCAATGAAAAAGATAAACCACAAAAATATACCAAAGTTTCCATACAGTAATATCTTTCTATTATATGAATACTGAAATTTTTTTAAAAAATGAATTCTTATCACTAAATTCTACTCCATCAACTATCTTCCCTTTCTTTTGGATAATGCACTGCATATTATGTTGCATTTTCATGTTGTACTCCAATTCATTTCTATTTAAAATAAACTATTACAGAAAATCATTTCTATGATTCCGCAAAAAAATCTCCAATCCAACAACCATAAGCAGTGCAGAACCCAAAACACTAATTCATTTAAGAAACTCGCTATCCATGCAAGATCAGCGATTGATATCAAAATATCAACTACTCTTTAAGAAGGAAAACCAAAAGGGCAAAGTACATTTTCTACTACGAAATTCACACAGGCTCTTCACTGGTGACTCAAATTACTAAGAAGCAAGTCATTTAAATTTTCCTACGTCTCCACTGCCCTGTTTCTTTCAAGATCAGCAGGGAAACAGAAATGAAGTATCTCCTTTACTGCTCCAATGAGTAATCCTTATGTCTAAAGATTCTTGAAATAACTACTGCAGCTAATACTCAATCTATTTTAAATCATAAGTACCATATTCATTTCAGCGTGTCACCACTGAAATAATTCGCTGAACATTCATCCCCCAAAAAATATGGAGAATATTTATTTAGCATGTAATATATTTTCTGCCAGGGGCACTGAAATATTAAGAAAACTATTCGGTAAAGTAATCAGACAGGAAGTTTTTCTGGTTTTAGCCCATGCACAAGTGAACAGGAAATATACATGCTGTATGTACTTTGTGTTTTAAACATAAAAATATTTATAGTATACAGTAACTGGAGAAAAAGTACAGTCAAAAGGTAACAGTGTACTGTTTGAAGACTCTCTATATTTGGTTACCCTTGAAAGCATTCTGAGCTGCATTAGTGGCTGCAGTGGAAGCTGCGTTGGCAGCTGCAGTCTGGACCGTTTTGTTGGACATCACACCGGTTGCAAACTCTTGTTGGGCCTTCTCAAAACTAGCACCTGTTGTGCGATATAGTCCATGTACCTGTGGAGACAAGAAAAGTGGGAGAAGGTAAGTGGCAATCCACACATTCACTGTCAGCAGCTCTTTCATTGGTTTCGACATTTGTTATTGTTGTTGTTAATGTTGTTCTTAAGTGCTGTCAAGCTGGTTCCGACTAATAGCGACCCTATATGGGTTTCCAAGGAGTGGCTGATAGGTTTGAACCATCAACTTTGCAGTTAGCAGTCCAGTGCTCATTACTCAGAGATTTCAGTCATGGACTTGAGAGCACCAGCCACCAGACTGACACACAATATTATATTTAAGTTTCTTCTACTAATAAAGATTTTCCCTAATGCAGAAAAGATCATTCCATTTACGGCAAACCTCAAATAATTTAAAAAACAATTACTTAACCAAGTGCATAGTGCTATGCTTTCCTCTGCAGCCAATTATTTAACTATTAAGGCACTACAGTATTACCACAGAATGGTTTAAACACAAGGAAAAGAGAAAATCTTAATTCAGTACATTAGTACCTCCCAATAACTCAAACAGAATACTACCTCATCTATTTTTAAGTTAGCTGCATGTATACCAATGTTCCTAAGTGCCTCAAGCAGCTAAGCGCTCAGCAGCTAATCAAAAGTTGGCAGTTCTAATCCACCCACAGATGACTCAGAAGAAACACCTGGAGATCTAATTCCAACACACTGAAAACTCTGTGAAGCACAATTCTACTCTGACAAACATAGGGCTGTTAGAAGTCAAAATCAACTTGGCAGCAACTGGTTTGGTTTCAAACATAGGGCTGTTAGAAGTCAAAATCAACTTGGCAGCAACTGGTTTGGTTTGGATTCACAACACACATTTTATCATTTACTGTGTCAACTACTGGAGTCCTGGCACTACAGGATAGGCATAGGACTTCTAACCGCAAGTTGAGTGGTTCAAACCCATCAGGAACTACTCATGTCCTTGAACATACTGCTACTATTCACTCTGTATTTTTCTGTATATGGTCAAATCCTACAGAATTTACTAAAGAAGTCTTCTGGGAATTGTCTCACCAAACTAGTTCCACACTCAAGTCTTGGGTTTTCTCCTAAAAGACAATGGCAATTCATTATCATGTTATTTTTGGCAATAGGGTTTAAAAATACTGTTTGTATTCAATATATGCTTTGCTGCATAATGAAGAAACCCATCAATGCATAATGTTAGCTGCTCTGTTTAATACTAATATGAAAAAGGAAATAACATGGCTAATTACAACCACACATTTACTTACTACATGCACACAAACTTGGAGGACCGAGTTAAGAGACAGATACATAACCCTGGAATTGCACTGCACTCTGACTGGCCTGATTAGAATACTATCAAGGTACATTTCAAGGAGAGGGTACCCCAGTCATCCTGAGCCCAAACTTGGGCAGAACTGGTAATTGTGGAATGAATATGAAAGTGAGGAAAAGCAGAGGGAATCATAGCAAAAGAAGGTAGCTTGATTTAGGGGGAAAGGGAGATCCTAAGTTCAGTTCTGCATATTCATCCATTCAACAAAGGTTTATTGAACACCTACTCTAGACCTGTCAGAGGAGGCAGGTGACGATACCTGGTTTGAAGGTCAAGAGAGGAATGAGCTAGCCTGGAGCAGCTAGAAGAATAGAAGATACTTCTTGAAAGAAAGACTGACAGGAGAAATACAAAACAATATAGGCAGTCCAACTGATTACTACAAGAACAAGCAAGTTGCTCACCCAGGAGACATCAGGGCAAGTAGTTGGGTCCCCTCAGAACAAATCCCCTTCCGAGACTAAGACTCTATGGGAATGCATGCTCTGATTAGTGACCATGTTCGTCACCGATAAGGGGAAGTGAGGAAAAAACAGCAATGAAGCTGCAAGCTAAGCCCTACAACATTCAATAGACACCTGTGAACCCAGGTGGAAACCTAGTTGGCCAGCAGTGTGGCAAGACCTGGGGACTCTTGAGCCCAGAGTCAGTGACAAAGCCACAGAGGACTAGAGTAGAGAGTGAAGTGTCCAGCTGATAAGAAGAGAGGGCATATGCACAAGAACACCCACACTTGCAGATAATACCCACTTGACCTGGCTTCAATGTCTGGATGATCAGAGCTAAACTAGAAGAAGAAAGAAGAGGAAAAAAAGAGTAATCTGATACAATATGATGAACTTGACCTACATCTATGGATGCAGTAGCTCAAAAGAGGGAACAAATCTTTACAGCAAGGATCATTCCCACCCCCTTGATACAGAGTAGACAGGGATGGGCAACTTGGACACTGGCTACCCAAAAGGAGGGGGAGCAGGGGGAGTTCAAAGGCAAGAAGTGACTGGCTTACAAGCTTTCAAGAAGGAACCTAGATCCAGAGGATGTAGAGGAAGGTAGAATTTCTACTGAGTAGTATCCAATCTGTCGGGGCAGGGCTGGTGAAAGGAGATGCGGACAGGTCTCTTGTGATACAATAGTGAATAATTGTTATCAGGACTGATTGTGAGGGTTGGAAAGGTAAAGGTAGACATTTTGTAGCAAGGAGGGGCGTGATTAACTTTGCAGTCTAGGAGCGGAGGTCCCTGGGACCATCAAGGGAGAAGAGTGGAGAGCAGGACCCTACGCAGAGAAACAGTGATGCCAGAGATGGAGGCAGAGACGAAGACGTGGTGAGATGGAGCGGCTGGGGACTTTAGACCCAGAGAGGGAGAGGGGCTGTGTGCTGACAACTGGGGAACAGGCTTGCAGGGTATACCCTTTGGTTGGTTGATGATGCATGGAAAGGATTGTAACCATGGCAATGAAATGATAGATGATAGGTGTAAAGCTAATGTTCTCCCATGTATACTATCACATAACTCACAATAAAACATTAAAACAATAAAAGAGAGAGAGGAATTAGCTAAAAATATGGACTTGGAAGTCTATCAGCATAAACAAGGTCATTGAAACCCTGGCACAAATGAAGAGTGCCCATAGAGAAAACAGGGTGCAAGAGGAGAGTGCCAAGTATAGAAACCTGATGCTGATAAGTGACATCAAGTTGGTTCTGACCAATAGTGACACAGTATAGGGTTTCCATGGAACAGCTGGTGAGCTTGAACCGCTGACCTTGAGGTTCAAACTGACCTTGCAGTTCAGTGCATTAACCCTCAGCACGACACCAGGATGTTAAGACATCAATATTTATGAGGTATCCACAAGAAGGAATGATAGGGAAGAAATGGGAAAAACAAAACGACAAGGTAAAAAACATGTCAAATAAAGGATAACTACCAGGGCAAAAGATAACAAACACTTAGCTCCAAATGCTTTGATAGAGTTATTGCTGTTGTTAAGTGCCATACCATCAGTTCTGACTCATATCAACCCAGTATAGGGTTTCCAAGAGCAGCTGGTGGGGTTGAACTGCCAACCTTGTGGTTAGCAGTCTAGTGTTTATCCTACAGTGCCACACCAGGACTCTTTGGCAGAGTGGTAAAAGCAAATGCCAGATTACTGCGGATCAAAGAATACAGTGGTCAGGTAGAAAACGAGAACACTAGTAAAGTATCTATTATGTATGGTTGACAACTGAGCTGTTTACTCAAAAAAAAAAATATGTGTCACCTTGGTTGAGCTGTGTTTCTCAGTGGCTTGACAGTTGTGTAATCATCTCTCGTGATGTAATCTGATGTGAGCAGCCAGTATCAGTTGTGAAAGGATTAAGATGAGATACAAAGCCTTTACTAAGATCATAATCAAGATTGGATATAAGGGAAGTTTCCCTGAGTGTGGCATGCATCACATTTTCTCAATCAGAAGGTAAAAGCAGAATTCAGCAGCAGAGACAGAGGAATTAACTATCATCAAGAAAGAAAAGCCAGGAGCTAAGCACACCTTTGGATCCAGGGTCCTTGTGCTGGAAACATCCTAGATCTAAGGGAAGACTGATATCAAGACATGTGGAGATCCTCAAGGAATTCCAGGCAAACAGATACTGACAGGAAATGGGGATTCGCTTCTAAACTGTGAGCTGAAGGAAAGAGAAAGCCTTCTCCTAGAGCTGCTGTTTCAGCTCGGTTCTGATTCATACGGACCCTGTAAAGGGTTCCGAAGCTGTAAATATTAACAGGAGCAGAAAGCCTCATCTTTCTCCCGTTGGATAGCTAGTGAGTTTGCACTGTTGACCCTGTGGTTAGCAGTCCAATTCTTATTCTACAGTGACATCCTGAATTTGGACTTCTGGTGCTGTAGGATAAGTGCTGGACTGCTAACCACAAGGTCAGTGGTTCAAACCCAACAGCCACTCCTTGGAAACCATATACATGTGTCGCTATGTCGGACTCCAAGGCACTTAACAGCAACAACAAACTGTGAGGCAGTAAATACCATCCACTTGCGGTATTTCTGTTATAACAGCACTGGGTAACTAAGACATTGCTAAACTGTAAAACTCTTTTTCTCCCAATACCCTATCTCTATCATATGCACAGAAGTGATTATTTTCATCCACTTTTTAAAACCAAATTTTCTATGGAATATTGAGGGATACTGAGTATACCATCAAGTGCCAAAAAAACAAACAAATCTATTTTGGAAGAAGTACAGTCAGTTTGCTTCTTAGAATGGAGGCACGAGACTTTGTCTTACTACTACAGACATGGTGTCAAGAGAGATCTGTCCCTGGAGAAGGGCCGTATGCTTGGTAAAGTAAAGGGTGATCGAACAAGAGTAAAGCTCTCAATGAGACGGGCTGACATAGTAGCTTCAACAATGGGCTCAAACTTAATAATAAGGATGGCACAGAACTGGACAGTGCTCTGTTCTGTCCAGATATGGTCATTACGAATCAGAGCTTACTCAACAGTAACGGTGGTGTGCCATGGAGTCGGTTCCAACTTACAGCAATCCCACATCGCGTTTCTGAGGCTATAAATCTTTCCAGAAACAGTAAGCCTCATCTTTCTCCTGGGGAACAACTGGTAGTTTCGACTTACTGACCTTGAGGTTAGCAGCCTGATTCGTACCCACTAGGTCACCAG